CACATGTGATCATGCTCCATAGGAGATGATGGGACTCCTGTTGTTGTGCACAAATGTGAACGGGGGCTAAATCACACTACAGTTGCAGCAGGCAGAAATTAAGAGGCATGAATGTAACCTCCGAAAAAAAACAAAATGGCAGGCCCCTCCTTAATATGTATTCATTGGCCATGTATTATAATTATCTTAGTTCTTAACAGTTATCTTAATGACAAATTAAAAAAATAGTGGTCTTCAGCCCTCCAAAAATGATCATCTTTGTACGTTGGGAGTTTGCCTACTTGCCTCATAAAAGGCCTACGCTCACTACATCATTTCTGAGACTCATGTTTAGACTAGACTAGACCATTAAAAAGCAGCATTGTAATAAAAAATAAACTATGATTTAACTTAAACCCGATGGCGATTCAGCACACAATTCCAGGCTGGGATGGTTTGAAGATTGTTCAATGCCCGCTGATGCCAGGAAAATTCTTCCTTAAAGCTACAGTCTACATTCCAATTGTATTTAAAGCACGTGCATTGAGGAGCATTATGCCGCACGTTGCCTTAGGGTAGCCCATTCATACCCTAGGGTGGTGTTTTATGTCCAAGCTTATTATCACTATGCTGCCTTGAGGAAGGGACCCTGTGAAGAGCCGAAACATTGGTTTCTTATGACTGAAAGGTGTTGTTGACTTTGTATCTTTATTGTGCACCACAATGCATGTTAGTGCGTTACTGGCACTAGTACGCATGGTAGTGCTTTACCAGCTGGGTTCACACTGTTGTGCTGCGGTAACATATGTGTTGTGGGTTGGCGTGCTGTGATGCCAATTATTATAAGCCTCCATGCACACAAGCGCTAAACCTGTACGGCCTAATTCACCTCCACCTCAGAGCCACAGGTGCTGCATACAGCCTCCCATAGAAGTCAACTGCTGTATGTTGGTACATGCAAGTACTCGGTTACAGCCGCGTATGTGTAAGGACGTAATTGTATGCAGCATCTCAGCACTGGGTGGGGGGAGAATCCACGTACTTGCATTGTATGGGCTCAGCTGCCCTTGTGCATGAAGGCTTAATGCACCTTGCCAGTGGACTTGCGTGCGCACCATGGTAATGCACTATCATGTGTCCTTGAGCACTGCATTACAGAAAATAAGAACATGCACCTTTTTTAGTGCCTTAAACAGCCCAGTTGAAAGAATGAGATGCCATGACACAATGCAAGTTTACACACTCGCTAATGTAGGTCAAAGTGCATGCTTTAAACACACCACAATCGTTTTAACCCAGTCTAAGGGCTTCAAGAAAGCTGCTTGAAGCTTTTAAACGCTTTGTAAATGCTTTCTGAATACAATGCACTTCAAACTAGCTTTTACAAGACAATGTTGATGTGAACGTATTAGTCATATAGTCAGGCTATAGACTCCTAGGCAGCCATGATGGTCAGACTGTGCTTAAAGGTTATAATAAAAGTTCTCCTCAAGGTCTGTAGATGTGAAATTAGAGTGTATGTCAAGCCAAAAACTGTTCTGTCTCCGTTAGAAAGTATACCTCTCACTTTCTGTCCAGTAAACTCACTAGCTCTGCTAAGGCAGCTCTCAAAGAAACAGGACTCACTTGTTGGGTACCCGGAAGTGACTCAAGGTATAGAAATAATGGACGCCAAACCAAAAGGTGAACAAGTCCAAGAATGTCTTTAATTATTCATAATTTGATTGCACAAAAACAGCCAAAGCGTTTCCAATGAACAATACTCCCCCTCCCAGGCTTAAAATGGAACATGGACTTGAATAGTCAACAGCAGGTAAAATGGGGCCAGTAGAATAGGAAGAAAAGGTAAGTCTCCCTAATGGAGACCTGGATAGTGGTACAAATCAGAGTGAGGTTCTAATCCTCTCCCACACTATCCAAAATGTTTTGGATGGACATACACTTTAAAACTTAAAGGAGAACTATGAGGTGAGTGCTTTTCACTCACCTCATAGTTCTAGCCGACCTGTGACAATGAGACTGTCACAGGTCAGCTCAGTAGATCGGGAGGTGAGCGAACACATACC